CTGCAAATTCAGATAAAACATCTTTATTTATCTTAGGTGGCCTGTAGACTGTAGCTATGGCAGTGGACAAGAGGCAGAAACAGATGTTTAGTTTGTCATTATACAGCACAATGATACCCCCACCTCTACCAGAGGGTCGTGGGAGATAAAATAATCCATATCCAGCAGGAGCAAGTTCATTAAAGAGTAGACCATCTGACTCTTTGTGCCAGGTTTCCGTTAAACACACTAGGTCCAATTTTCCTTCTATGATAATGTCAGATTATATCACAGCCTTGTTGTTGAAATAGTGTGCATTGAAAAGCGTTGATTTCAATAGACAAGAAGGAGCAGATGAAACTGAAGCAACCTGCTCATGCTTAAGAGCCGACAAGTTGTTAAAATTAGCCCTCATAGGCCTAGAGAGCAGCTTATGGTGTGTGGAGTATGTTCAACGAGAGTGATGAAAGGCTGTAAAGGACAGGTTTTGCGGAAAGCCCTTATATGGAGATGGTTTGGGAGTGTTTTATGCAAATGACTAACCTCACATGGCCACTCATTTCAAATACTCCAAATTCATTAACATTAGGACGAGGTTAAGAACAAATTCATGTGTGTTCGCACGTGTTGTGAATTAGACGGTAAGTTTTCTTGAGAAGTTCAATTGTGCGAATATATACAAATAATCTATGCAATTATTAGTGAATGAGACCCATTGTCTAATTATTTTTATCAAAATCCCTGAAAAAGATATTTTTTCGATACTGCACACCCTTTGTGTTCAGTATACATTTTTTTTATTTCTTCAGGTCTTAAAATGGTCCTAAAAAGCCTTAAATTTGAATTAAAAAATGTGCAGGAACCCTGTACAATATCTTTAACGGTAAAATAGGAAAAAATACAAGAAACAGAACTGAGCACAAATGAAAAGACCATTGTTATTGTAAGGTTGTTGTAAGTTACACCACATGAAACAATATGAATCCATCATGAGTACATAGAGTACATTTCAAAGAACTTGGCACTGGAACATGAACTAGATTTTTCTAGACTTCTACCCTCTTTTTGTTAACACAGCAGTCCACTCCAAAAGAAACAAGCAACACTTTTGTTTTCCCTTTCTCTTTCTTTTACTTTCTTGTGGGGATAGTGACTGTCCCTAACAGTTAACATCTTCATTTCATTTTTTATCTGCGGACCCAGAAAAAATTGAAAGAAAAGAGACACAGCGCTGGTGGAATAATATGTGTCCACAGTGGACGTAGCGGCCTCTGATTGAATTTCCAGCAGAATGGGGAGATGGGGAAGGCTAAGTGTAATCTTCCGCTCCTCCATCACGTCTCCAGGGGTTCGAGTATTGTGGAAAGCTATAAGACGCTATCTGCACAGGCACTTTTTAAACCTGAAGAGAGCCATCAAGCTATGAGAATCAATACAAGAGGCAGCCCGCCGCTTCCTGATCACAGACAGCTGTGAAATGATAGAGAAATTGGAGAGGTGCGAAGACTGCCTCAAAAATATTAAGATTAAAGCCGCTGAATAGCATGCCACCCGCTGAAATGAAGATAAATGTTGCCTTTCTCATTTTCTTGAATAATCCTTTTACATCTGAACATGATTGGAAAAGATGGCCATGGCCAGAGATTGTTTGACGCAGTGCGAATCATTCTACGAACATCTGTCACGTACTACAGTGTACTTGTGCATATGATTTTGTCATGTAAATTTTGAGTATGTATCTTGAAAGAAAATTTCATCTTCTCTGAGAAGGACGCTAGCATGCTAATTCACAAGTTTATCCAGAAGCTCAGCTGCAGGACTTTTACTCGTCAGTTACGAAACAAAATATCTTGGCACTAGATTTTTTAGGGAGAAAAAACTCTTCAACTACTTCGGACAACCAGACTGAGATTTAATGTGACTGCAACAGCAGCTAAACACAGGTTTGTCTCTGATAACTTCATGTCTGTGCGGCAGTGTGCTGACACACTTTCGTAGTCAGCTCTCTCCATCTCACCCCAGGTCTCCAGTGTCCCAACCCTCCCATGAAATGCAAATGCCTCCTGATAGCATGAAGGACCCTTAAAATAAAGCCTCACCACTCCATCCCTACCCCTGGGGAACCTCCAGGAAATTGGATGACAAGAAATGTGACAAATGTCTCTGGAAAGTTCCCTCCTCTGGCCCTATTCCGTTTGAATAAATCCTTTTTAATGGACTCTACTGCCGGCTCGCTTTGTCGTGGGCTGTTGGATGACAGCGGAAGCGGAGTTGATTCTGATTTTTCACATTTTTGTAGACACACACTTGCATTTACATTCACACACTACCTGCGGGCGATTCGTGTGGACTCTAGTTGAGGGGACAGACCTAAAACCTGATTCTTTTTTTTCTCCACTGGGAATTGTAATTATATATCGTTCTCTCCGAAAAATGTTAAAGGCTAATGTTTTTTTCAGAGAAAGAAAAATCGCCCACTGCCCGACTCTGCGAGTGGAAAAATGAAAGCAGAACATTTCAAGTTAAACTTCTTTTCTTGGTTTTGAATAATTCAGCTCTGAAGTTAGAAAAGGTCAAGTTTTATATTTTATTTTTCTTCATGCGTGATATTGTGGATGGTTGTGTTATTAGACTCTTGTTGCCATGCTCACGACATTGAGACACCTTATGGCTTTCCTTTTTTCCTCTCTTTAACCCGTACGCTGTCTCTGCTACTTAACCAATGCAAGGCAAGTCTTTTGCATTAGGGTTAATTTATTAATCAATCCAATGATCTCAGGCCTTCATCACATTGCTTGACACTGTTTTGACTCCCACATGGGAGGGCAGGATTATGAGGTTGGTAGGTAGCAAGAAAGTCAGCAATGTATGGAGGAAACAATAAAAATAGTGAAAACAAACTAAAGAGGAAACATGCAAAGGTCAGGTCAAACAGGGTCAAGACTAAAATGGTTTGAACCAAGTGCCATATAAAATGTTCACATACATTAACGTTCAAAAGTTTATTGAGCAGCAAATCAGCATATTAGAATGATTTCTGAAGGATCACGTGACACTGAAAACTGGAGTAATGATGCTGTAATGACGAGTAATGATGCTGAAAATTCAGCTCTGCCATCACAAAGAATATACTGTGTGCATATATATATATATATATAAATATATATATTAAAAAGTTATTTTAAATTAATATACCGTAATATTAGTGATTTTACTGTATTTTTTGACCAAATAAATGCAGCTTTCATGAGCATAGGAGACTTTTAATGACAGTTGCTGCCAGTGGTGTTTGTTACTCATAGAGGTCAATGCATTAGTCATTAGAGTCATGTAAAAAGTACCTTTTAGATTCAGATTTCTATATTTATGTACAACATGTAACCAAATAATGTAAATCCAGTGATTTTAGAAAAACAGAGCTCATGACATTTTCTCAGTCTTCACTGATTTTGAACAGTTGCTGTTGTTTTAATAGTGTTTCTTGAGCCCAGGGCTTCTCAAGCATCTGATCATTGTCGTCTAAGGATGCAGACACAGTCTTTTATGACACAAACAGCACTTAGAAGAGGTCAGCCATGCCTGCAGACAGCTATAAACACTGTAATAGAGCAGCCGCGTTCCTTCATCTCTCTATTTCGCTTCTCTTTTTCTCTCCGCCCCTCCTGCCTCCACATCTCCTAATGTGCGTTTGTTTCAGAGGAGTGTGAGCGTGGGATTGTGGGACGGGATTAGATGATCTCTTTTGCTCTGTTTGGTGGAGTCCCTCCCTCTTCTTTTTAGCTGTTTTACCCTTGTGCTCTCTCTCTCTCTCTCTCTCTCTCTCTCTCTCTCTCTCTTTCTCTATCCATCCATCTATCAGAGAAGATTCATGGCCTAACCAGGCTCAGTAAACGAGTCTGACAGTTGTGCCCACAAGCCATAATTTTAAAAATGACAAGTTTGAGGCGCCATGAAATTATCAATGTCAGCCAGCAGGCAGCCACCACTCAGGGTTAAAAAGAGATTTGATCTTTTCTTTCTCTTCTGCATCCTTTCTACATCCACTATTTTCTGAACTACTTCATTTTTTCTTTCCCCCACTCAGCATCCTCATTATAGTACTTTGTATCCCACTTTTTCTTTCCCTGTCTCTTTCAGTAAATATTTAGGGGGGTGTGCTGATTTTGGCAGATGAGTAGGTGTTTCTGAGTGACTCTTTCTGAGTCACACCTTTAGAGTGCTACGAATGTATGGACACACACACACACACACACACACACATTCACCTCCAGACATGCCATAGCAATTTAATTCCTGTTTTTGTCTGATGTCTCTGAAAAGGTTTTCGGAGGTGTTTACTTTAGGAATGTTAACAATGAATGGAGAACTAGGAATTCCACTTAAAAATGATCATAAATCAGTTATCAATTTATTAATTCAAATGTAAAAATGTAAATAAGTCACAAACTGACAAATACATATACATGTGAACATTTCATTTCAAAAAACAAATTGTAATGTTAAATGTAGAAATAAAATACATGAACTAATTTTTAAAAATGAACCTTTTACATTTTATTTTTAAAAAGCTTTTACATCGTTTACAGATTACTTTTCTTTTTGATTGTATAAATGTTGCGTTTAAAGTGATTCATCAAGTTATTGTTTCATTTTAACTACATTTCTAAATACATTTATATATCTGTCAGTTTAGTTTTTTTAAATTAGTGCATTTATAATAAATTTCTCCTTTTTATTTGAAAGTGGCACTCCTGGTCCACCAAAACACAGGGTGAATTTGCTAAACATGCACATATGTTGCATATCAGGCTCTGTATGCTTACGTTTAGCACTGCAACATGTTTATTTAAGTCATTGACTTTTTTTTTTTGCAAAACACTCCTTCCTTTGCAAAAGAGGCTCATTATAGATCATGTTTTATTCACAAAAATCAGAGTTGTTTGCTTGTTGGATGATACAACAGTGTAGAAAGTTTATGCAAATAAATGGTACTTTTATTCCAATTAATTCGTAGTATCCCCCTGTGTCTTTGTCTGCGAGCACATGCTGTTACAAATGAAACTGCTTGTCATTTTTTTAACCATGATTTTTTCCACAAGACTGTGTTTTTGTGTATGTGTAGCATAGAATCCCTTGGATGCTTTTGAGTTTCTGATCATGCATTCGAAGCAAACTTCAGACTTTCATCTCTGATTTCTGCATCATCTTCTGTTTGTAGGTCTGGAGTTTGCCTACTCCGCAGCTCCTCGCTCCATGCAGAGTGCTATAATGGGCCTGTTCTTCTTCTTCTCCGGCATCGGCTCCTTTGTGGGATCGGGACTACTTGCAATCGTCTCTCTCAAAACCATCGGCTGGATGTCCTCGCATAAAGACTTCGGTAAGACTTGTGTGAGAGAGAGCATTAGAAGGTAGAACAAGATACGTGAATAGCACTGCACAGCATGTCTGGGATGAAACGGATGTAGCTCACCTAGTTTTTGAACAGTGTGTCTGTTTGAATGAGTGTGTGCATGAATATAAATGCAAGTGTGTGTGGGTCAGGATTTGCCTGCATTTAGGGGGACCAAATGTCCCCATAATGATTGTAAAACCTAAAATAGATGCACTGTGGGGATTTGTGAGGAAAAGGGCTTGATAAGCATACTTAATTATGACTTAATGAAAATGTAAAATGCAGAAAGGTTTGTGTAAGGGTCAGAGAGGATAAAAAATATAATTTAGCTCAGTATAAACTATAAAAGTCCTATTCCAGCAGATTGGGTCTCTAAGATACACAACTTTGATTTCATCGTCATTCATAAAACCAATGATGTTAAAATATCCTGAAAATCAATGACTTGTATGTTCCATCTTGATGAATGAAATCGATGATGAAAGATGGTCCCTGATCAGCATTCTGTTTAAATGCAATGTATTGTAATTATGCCAAAGGAGAGGTCATACCTTTCAGTTCTCGGGTCGTGTCAGAGATGAAGTGACGAGGTGAGCACATGTGCTTGATGGATGATGTGTGTTTTATGTGTGCGTGTGCACGTACGACGGCTTGAGTGCAGTCATCTCTAACTAAACCCAGGAGGTGATTGCCCATTTGGCCACTGTTTATGTCTGAGTGTGTATCCTGCCCAATAAACTGTCATATTTTGTTGGCCAAAAGTGGACCCAAAATGGACCCCTGATTTCTTAAATAAATGTCCCGATTCCCTAGTCTAACTGTTCATCAATTGTCAATACATGCTGTTATTTTGTAGAAAAATGGTTGTTTTCACACACTTTCATCAAAGTGTAATAACTCTACAGTACCTCCTAAAGGCAAAAAAGAAATATCAACCAATAATATCACAGCCTATATTTCACCCCCACCCACTTTTCAGGATCCAATCAAATCCAGATGAAGTAAATCAAGTTCTGTCCTACGTTTTCTGCTGAATAGTGTTTTGCTTATAAATGTGCCACATTCTGTTACTCGTGTTGGCAGTTTCATGTTGTCTGGAGTAAAGTAAACTTTTGAAGTCTCAGGAGAAAGAAAGCCGTACCTGAGTGCCAGGTCGTGTATTATGAATGCACATGCTAATTAATGGTCATGTCAGGCTTACACCAAAATCGGTGTGTAAATCTGTCGCAGCGGGGACGATGAATAGCACAAAGGAGACAGTAGATGGATGTGATTGCCATTGCAATGACAGCTCAATGTTCCAGATGTATTCCCACCCATTTTGTGCATCTGAGGCAAATGAACAGTTTACGCACAAACTACTTCAGCACCCATTAATACAGCACACCAAGACAGGTGTGAGGCATTTCTGCTAATGGCAGCAGTGAGAGTAAATGTACTTTAAATCTGTCCCTCTTTGCTCTGTTTGTTTGGCAAGCATCATTGGGATATTAGAGTGGGTCTTAATATGAATTATATGACATTGCTTTTTCCCCCTCCACTTTTAGTGAGAGAAGAGAGAGGGCAGGAAATGAGAAGTTGAAGAAATAAAATTTACTCTGAAGGAACAGTCAGACTCGAACCCTGTAATGTTCATATGAGCACCACATGCTTTAATATGTGCTTTAAGGGGGTCATATGATGCTATTTCAATTTTTCCTTTCTCTTTGGAGTGTTACAAGCTCTTGGTGCATAAGAAGATCTGTAA